CTCGTTGTCTATAGATAGGATACTGTTTTGAGCAATTAAAGGGAATAGTGTTGCTATACGAGCTCGAAACTTCTGTAAGAGATGTTATGTGTGGAGTCCATATGAGAGAATTACTGAGGATCATCCGAGATAAGGGACCTTCTTAGCCCAGGGGATATATGCTCAGTAGAAATGCAGGCTTTTATCAATTTTCTTTTTCTTAGTAAACAAGATGGCATGCGTCTTGTCCACATTAACAAGGACTTTCCATTTTTTCAGCCAAATCTCAAACATGTTTATGTGATCTGATCCAACAAATGCACATTGCGTCAGGATCGCTGTGTCATCTGCGTACATTGCAAGTGTCGTGTTAGGTGTTATAGGAATGTCGTTCACATAAATATTAAAAAGTGTGGGTGCCAAGGGGATGCTAATATGGGACGTTGTGTAGAATACGAGCCGAAAGGATGACTTTATTTGTTTACATTAGCTCACGGAGTATAATACTCCGTAAGACTCCGTGCATTAGCTTTACATAAGTCACGTGATCTCTGAGATTATGTGCCTTGTTTGTTTACATTAGCTATACATAAGCCTCGTGATCTCTGAGGTCATCGGAATGTACCTCATTAATAAATCATTCTTGGAATAATCACGAGACTTAAACCCTTCTTGAATGTTACAAGTCCTGGGAATAATTAATTTGTAGAACATATCATTCGGTTTTTCCGCATTACATTATTTACATATACATTTATTATTTACATATATTTTCATATATGATGTGGTATGTCTAGTATATTTCTTTAAAACTTTTCTTACATGCTGTATTGCACTGTTCGCTATGTGCCCTAATTATTCATGCTGTCTGTCTATTGCTATCACCTGTCTGTCTATTTCTACTCACTGGCTTCACAGATCAACTTCTATTTTACTGATGATGCTATTTTTTAGATGTAATTCCTGACAAGCCAATACTTACGAGTTCGTACTACTTGTTGCAATAACTTTTAATCATCATTGAAAATATTGCTGTGATATATTCTTAATTATCCTATTTCTCGACAGAGTAGGTCCTAATGACCGGGCACCAGGTGATGCACCAAAACTATCACAGAACGTCAAGGGAAACTTAGGTGTCAAGCAAATCGCAAACATTCTGTGCTACATAAAGATAGCAGATGAAGGCAAAACAGAAAATGAACTGGACATCTTTATTCTTCAATGTAGCTCACAGATTTTTTCTTAAATATTGAGAAGTCTTAAATATCATAACAATCTTTATATTACAACAATCACTTTATTTAATAATATTTTAATTTAATAATTAACTTAAATATTACAACAATCTAACTGTGATCCTCATATTGTAGAGAATAACTACTACTTTTGACAAATCGATGAGTTGTCTTGTAGTTCCTTAACATTAGCTACCAAAAGGATGTCGTCCCGCATCAGTTGTACTCCCTTCTATTTACACGTTTAGAAAGACACCTCTTACACCTCGTAAGGCTTTGCTTCATTAATGCAACCAGTAACATCATTTTAGTGAGTCAGAGAGTTTGATTTTTCAGATCGAAGCATGTTTTCTTCTAATCACTACAGCTTGCTGATAAGGAGTGATCTTGATCGAGGAAGGTGTTTAAATATGGTCTTCTTTGTTCACGTTGCATAAGTGTGGCGCGTATTGCGACATAATTTTTATTTCAGTGCAATGCTAAAAATGGAAGAGCTCAAAAGTTCCTTTTCTTGATGTTCTCTTTTATTTTAAAAAAAAAATTTCCGACTGCTCGTAAAATTAGTGCTGTGTATAGACAAAGTGTTGTTTCTCATAGCTAGTTTGAAAAGTTCAAGGGTAGAAATTTTTGCCTGGAAGACGATACAAGCTCTGGACGACTATCTTTTGCAAAGAAGAACCTGTTAAGAAAAGCTATTGCTGAATATACAAGTTGTAAATTTCAGGAGCTATCAGACAGACATATTTCAAAAAGTACAGTGAAAAATGATTTGAAGAAGACTGGTATGTAAGCCGCTACGATGAATGGATAACCATACTTTAATACAATATAAGCTTTCTCAAGTTTCGGCATGCGTTTCTTTGCAGAAAAAAATAAAGAAGCTCCCTTTTTCGAAACGGCTGATCACTGGAGATGAAAAGGTAATGTTTCAAGAAAAAGATCATGGAGTAAGCCAAAAGAAGCTCCTTTAGTAACATCGAGAGGGAGACTGCATTCCAAAAACATAATGTTTTATGCGTGGTGGAACTGCAAAGAAATTGTATGCTATGAAATGTTTCCACTAAATCATACAATAAGCATGGAAAAATACTTTTTCCAAATGGCAGTTATAAAAGCAGAAATCGAAGCAAAACACTTTTAACTGAGCAGTCGTCGAGATGGTCTTCCATCATGACTGGGCACATTTCGATGAATATGAGATAAAGACTTAATAAGAATAACTGGAAAGTTTTGTGCCACCCCCATATTCACCTGACCTAGCCCCTCGAATTTTTATCTCTTCAGGTCATTTCAAAATTTTCTGAATGGTCTAACATTCTTTGAAAGCCATCACACTACACATTGATGATTTCTCCAAGAATAAGATGGTTTTTCAAAAGGCAATTTTTGAAAAAAGAAGCCAATGAAATGGCAAAAGGGCACCAAATAAAATGATGGTTACATGATTGAAAGAAATTTTCTTATTTTTTATTTGTATTTACCATAGAAAAAATCGAGAACTTTCCAGATCACCCATAGCTGTTATATACATGTTATCTTGTGCTAACTGAAATGATGTTGGCTCAGTGATCCCAAACTAGTAGCCTGCAGGCCGTATGAAATACCGTAAGTGATTTTATGTAGCTCGCGAAGACATTTCAATTATGAATTTCCTATAAGTACAGTGTTAGAATGTTTTCAAGATTTTATTTATTTGAAGTCTGAGTTTATATTATTTTCATTACCATTAAAAACTAATGGGAATAATGACACAGAAAATCTATAAATGGAGTAAATTAATTTAAAATGTGATATAAATCTTGTGCAGAGATTTGAAAATACAGATTTTATAACACATTTAATCGTGCTTGTCAAAAATAAATAATTTATTAATCTTTACACTAGAAATAATCTCCTTATTTCGGAATATATGAGCAACCTTTTTTTCACAGCTGAAAAATAATCAGAAAACAAACCCTATTGACCTATAAATATCCTCAATCCATGATGATGATTTCTAATAAATTCTGGCCAAGACTACAAACATTATCAAAATCAAAACTCCATTAAGTGTGAAACTGGAGCAAGAAGTAAAAGAAGTTTAAAGTTATTTACAAACAAACATGTATATTTTTATGTGTATATTTTTATGTATGCTTTCATGAAAGACTTCACAAATAAGAGGAAGCTATTTAACTGTCAATATTTATTCTCACGTTTTGTTCTAAAGTTTTCAAAATTTCTCTTAGTGTAAATTAAAGTAAGTTATTTAATGATTAATCAAATACGTTAGAAAATTTTCAATAAACGTCAGTCTGAAAATTTACTATTTTGTTTTCAGTATATTTGATTTACAAAGTGTATTCAATAGAAATGTCTTATAGGTACTTAACTTGAGATTTCAAATAGAAAATAAATAAAAACTTGTAAGGATCCTAAGTTTTACTAACGTTTATTTTATTTTAAATCTTTACTATCACTTCTTATTTTCTACTTCCGGCCAGAATTAAAAGCGTTAACTTATTTATGCAAAATTTGTCTTGCTAACGCCAAGTACTTAAGTTGTGGCTTTTTGCCAAGCAAGAGAGAGGAAGGAGTTATTGGAAGCAAGCCGCTTGCCATAGTAGTTTTACTCGGTTGCTGGTTGCCTTCAAGGCCAGAGGTTTAGTCCTCTTGATAATTTCAAAGGTATCGTAGTTTTAGCAGCTCTCCTTACTACATACGGACTTTGTTAATTAACGGCCAATCTTATTGCTAGGCACTTGTATACTAATTAAACTTAGTTTTAGTTATTAGTTTTATATTCTTACGTTCAGACCACAAGTGGTTGGTCTCTGTATTCCGAAGTTCTGGAAATCTCTGTAAAGATAGAAAAATAAAGGGTTTCGCATACCCTTCCTGTGTGTATTGTCTACTTCACAATTTATTGAACATAGCTTGAGTAAGCGCCCTGTTCCGAGTCAGGACAGTTCATGTTTCCAAAGCAGGTCAATAGGAACACAAGTCCTGATAAACTAAAATTCATTTTCTTTGCAACATTATTATTATTGTTTATGTATATTTAAAAAAAAATTAGTAATCGAAATTTAAAATGTTTTTATTTGGTTAATAAATATTTTGTATTATTTTGTTAAACAAATTTTGGCTGTAAATTTTCAGATCGCATTTGCAACCCACTGGCAATTTGAGTTTCAATTGTAACTGATTAACATTCTACCGAGAGGCAAGTCCTCCGACCAACACCTAACTTATATGCAAGCAATGCAATAACTGCTGTCGCTTAAACTTCTAAGATCTGAACTCTTAAAAATTTCACCTATGCAACTCATAAGACTAAAAGGGAAGACACCTTACTAATTATGCATTATAAAGAAATATATTTCGGATCGGCAGCTAACTGTTCGAAGTTAGGGATTTCTTAAAAGAAGGTTAGGAAGGTGTTAAAGTTAGGGATTTCTTTTCCTTTTTCTCTCTTTCTTTCAAGATGGATTCCAATTCTTGATATATTAGATTTAATTTAACTAATGCTATAAGGTATTTCTCTCGCCTTCTTAGTATGCCTTCGTAGTGTAGTGGTCAACACGCTCGGCACGTTTTCGAGAGGCTCGTGGTTCGAGTCCCGGCGAAGGGTTTGTTCATTTCTCATTTATCCTGCCTTGCAATAGCCTAATGATTCTACAGTGGCGCCCAAACTAAAAAGGTAGTGGATGATGATTCTTCACATCAGAATTTGGCGATTGGGTTAATTGACTAAAAGCTCTTAACATGTCATTGAAATTTAATATTTATGAAAAACAACTCATATCTTTTAATATTATTTTAATATTTATGAAAAACAACTCATATCATGTCGAGTGTCTTTATAAACAGCATGTTATACCAAATAACTTATTGAAATTTCCAAGTTATACAGAATTTTGTTACAAAATTGCAAGAATTACAAATGTTTCTACAAAAGATTTTGCTTTGACAATTTTGAATTTTCACATACCTTCAGTTTTTGAGATATTTTGAATTTTTACATACATTCAATTTTGAGTTTGTACATACATTATGTTTTTGAGACATTTGGGACACTACATTTTGCGATAATGCGAAAAAAATAGGGAAAGAAAACAGTGAGAGGAAGAATAATAAGTGAGAGAATAGAGGAAAGAAAAAGGTGGGAAAGAAATTAAAGGAAGGAGAGGGGGGGGATTACAAATGGGTTTTTTACAAAAAGATTCTGGTTTTACAATTGTGAATCTTGATATATATTCAGTTTTGGAGACATTCTGTACCAATTTTGTTAAATACTAAAAGTTGAGCAAATTGTTTTTTAATACATACATTGATACAGCTATATTGTGCTGGATATAAACTGAAAGAAAAGCGAGAGAGAAAGTAGAGACATAGACGAAAAGAGAAAACAGAAACAAGAAGAAAGAGGGGAAGAACGAAATGAGAAAGTAACGTCACGGAGGAAATATTAAGATCGAAGGTAATTTAAATACAAATCTTAAATTAATGAATAAAATGGTAAACAAATAATGATATAACAGAATAAGAAAATAAATAATAAATAATATTAAATAGCAATATAATAAAAAATAATAACATCCGCTGGCGTATAGCGTATATCCTGACATTCTCTTCGTGTTTTCTAATCTGGACTCTCTGTCACATGAGAGAAAGGCGCCGTTCCTCTAAGGTGCGCATGCGTGGTGTCCATCAAATCATCACAGAAAAAGCTGAAAATACGTCTGACGAAATTTGGGAATTATCCGTAAAGGGAAAGAATTATGAAGCCAGACGCTACAATGAAAATAAAGATCGCGAAGATTAAATCTTCTGTAATATTCTACGTAAAATGTCAAAACAGGGAATTACGTTATCGAAGTGGATTGATAGTGTGTGATAAAAAATATAAAAATGTAGTTCTCGTTTCCTCTTTGTTAGAATAGTACTTATCCATGCATTTTCTTCCTTCAGAATTTATGTTAATAAATTTTAAATTTTCTTCAGAAAACGTGTTCGTTAACTATGTACTATTTCCTTGGAGAAGACAATGAAAACAATTTCATGTTTGCATTAGGCATATGCGGTAGTGTTTTGACTCTATTAAAAAAAATTCAACTTGAGATTTCTTATTGTTTTTCCTTCATACGGGGAAAAAATGTACTTATAAGAATTATAACTACGATCTTTTAAATATGTGAAACCGTCTTAAGGTCCCCTCAAGAAACAAGGAAGATATCATGTAATTCAAAGCTAAATTTAAGTTAAGCTTTTTAAATGAGATCATCTTATATTCGGGACAAAACGGTACATAATTCATAAAGTCTGGCATAAAACTAAATGTTTTTGAGATTAGACTATTAATGTTTGATATTTTAAGAATAAACACACAGAAAATATTTATACGTAATAAGTTAGATTTATAACGTAATACAACATTTATAACATTACCAACTGCATTTAATCACATTTATAAGGCAATAATAATACGTAATAACTACATTTCTGACATAATAAATAAACTAATTAATATTATAATAAATAAACTAATTACATATTTTATTAATTTATTACGCTATTAAATACAGTTCTGGAACTACTTGCAACTTATAGTAGTAGTTCTTTATTTCAATGTATGTATTAAATTCTTACATTCCAAACTAGGAGCTCTCAACCAGGAGGGAATTTCCCCCCCCCCGGGGTGATTTTATAGTTCTAGGAGGATGCGTTCAACTTTTTAGTTAGCTATTAAATATTTAGTTTTAGTTTATCAATATACTTTGCTCTGCTTTTGCTCAACTTTTAGTATTTAACAAAATTTTCTAAACTTCTTGTTAATGAATTTTTAAAACACGTTAAAAAATCATCTAAAACTTGATAAATGCATACATTTATTTTGAGTTTTGGAAAGAGGGGGGGTGCAGAGATCTTCTAGTAGTAGTAGTGCATGGGCAAAAAAGGTTGAGAGCCCCTGTTCTAAATATTTAGACAATTGATTCACAAACGTGAGAGATCTAGTATGGTAAAAATGAGGCTTGTCTAGGCGGCTGCTGTTTAAGTTCTTTGGAATCCTCCTTTTTCAGTTTCTTTTCCATGTCTAAAACGTAGAGGTTCATGAGCTTTTGGGAGGTCTAAAGTTAGAAGAGAAAATGAAAACGTTAGTCTAGCTTAAATTTCACACTTGGCAGTTTACAACAGAATATTTAACATTTAATAGATAATTAATAATAAAATAAGCGGGCAAATTTCATGAAGAAAAAGCAAGTTAACAAGAAACCTGTATAAGAGTACCATTTATAATAACGTCCAGCTTACATTGTCTCGACTTTCGAGAAATGATGGTAAAATAATAGGGCTATCTTATGAAACATAATATGGATTCAGAAGTTTCAAATCAGTCGTATCTTCTCCCTAGACCTTCTCTTTAGTCGTATCTAAGTAACTTCCCTAGAAGATGACAAACCGCCGAAGATATCACTTTCAATCTTTGTTGAAATAACTCTTGAAGCATACTTTCAACTAGTTCATTATAGATTTTTGGATGCTGCATCATAATAGCGAGCTTTAGAGTGAAGATTTAGTCTGGGGAAGAAAAAGAGTCATAGAGGTACAGTCAATACAGACTCAGACCTGATGAATAAGGAATGCGAAACTACTGGCAAACCTTTCAACTAAAACTTCAGCAACACTGAGTCCTTTAAAAGACTCCACTCCTATGGAATTTAATTCAGCAACACTGAGCCCTTTAAAAGGGTGAGTATATAAGGTATTTCCCCCGCCTTCTTAGCATGCCTTCGTGGTGTAGTTGTCAGCACGCTCGGCGCGAATTCGAGAGGTCCGTGGTTCGAGTCCCGGTGAGGGCATTGCTCATTTTTCACATGTCTTGCTTCGAAGTAACCTAATGAATCTACAGTGGCGCCCGAACTAAAAGGGTGGTGGATGATGATTTTCCACCCCCAGGATTATCAGAGGCAAAAGCGCCTCAAATCTTCTTCTTCCGTCATCATTTTCCTCTCCGTGAATCTCAATAAGGATTTTCCAAAGGTCAGACCCTAAATGGGAGTCTTTCAAGATCTTCTTCTTTCTTCTTCTCTTTCAGGGTTTATTTTCCTCCGAAAACCAGAATAATCCACAAAGCATCAACAAAGGATGATGTGGCTAAAGTCAAAAACCTGCTCTGGATAAGGAAAGATTAAGGGAACTAAAGAGACATAATTTTACAATGCACATTTTTCTAAAGGTAAGAAGCTGAGTACGGTCTTTTCAGAAGTTATTGGCCGAATTTTGTTCATGAAATTGATTTCAGTACTGATACTCCCGAACACACTATGAGAAAACAGAATACTCCTGACTCTTTGATATAATAGTATTGAAACAGTAAATGTAAAAATATTGGCGGACTACTAACAGATCTATGAAAGAAAAATTAAACAGAATTTAGGGATCTATGAAAACTATGATTATAGATGCACTTAACACTGCTTTAGTTTTGGGAAATTCCCAATGCATTTGATCATGAGTATGTACGCAATTGTAATACACCTGCCTACCCTGCTCCTCCAGTTATGCTAAAAATAGAGTTATTTAGAGTACAGTAAAAATTTACATGTAGATACAGTTCAAGGAAATTTAGCATTTTAAAATAAATTAATAATGCGTTTTTGCATTTAAATAGAAAATTCATCGGAAAGTTCCTTATTTTTCCTGAATTAAAAAAATGTTTAACGTTACAGTCAGTTATTGAGCCCATACAAATAACCTGTTGCATATCATTCCAAAATCAATATTTTTATTTTGCTCATTGACATTTCTGGAATGGTAAATGTTCATGAAGATCAGTTTTCATAAATAAAATAAAATTTGTGATAAATAAATAATAATAATAAAATATGATAGCGGTGAAAATAAATAAATAAAAAAAAATGAAAAAATGTGATATCGGTGATAGTTATTACATCTCTAAATTACAATTCTTCTTCTATTATTATCTTTGCACAAGGTGAAAGAAACTTTCTGTGTGAAAGGCGGAAAGTAAATCTATTAAGTAACATAACATAATGATGATATAATGCCAACTTTCGTCAAAACTTTTTTTTTAATTCAGTTATTTTATTGCAGTTAAGTAAAGTAGCAATTAATATGCTTCTCTTCAGCACATGGACAAAACCTGTTTGAAAACCCCTCGGGGGTTGTAGAGATTTTAGGATTTTTTTTAAAGCAGGAGAGATGAAAAATGGGAACGCCTTCGCCGGGAATCGAATCACGGACCTCTGGAATACGCGCCTAGCATGCTGACCACTACATTACGAAGGCATGCTAAGAATGCAGGATAAATACCTTATATAAAGGTATAAAATTACCTTATTAAAGGGCGACTGGAGTTTTTAGGGGACCAAATCGCCAAATATTGGGTGTGGAGAATCATCAGCCACCACCCTTTTAGTTCGGACGCCACTGTAGAGATATTAGGTTTTTTTTTTTTTTTTTTTTTTTTGAAAGCAGGAGAGATGAAAAATCAGCAATGCCTTCTCCGGGAATCGAACTACGGACTTATGGAATACGCGCCCAACGTGCTGACCACTGCACTACGAAAGCACTACGAAAGAAGGCGGGCGAAATACTCTAGCAGAAGTCTAGAGACTTCTGCTAGAGCGTATACTGTCTCTAGCAGAAGGTGGGAAGGGGTGCAGAAGAGAAGCACTTGAAAGAGAAAGGAAGTGTGTGGGGTTTAGAAGGTGGGAAGGAGTGGGGAAGAGAAGCACTTGGAAGAAGGAAGTGGGCAGGAGAGGGGAAGACGAAAATGCTGCTGGGGTTCTATTGTTCCAGAATCGGTCTTTAGTTTCTACTGTTATAGACCATCAGGAGAATGTTCAGTATCTTTTTACCGTGTTTCTAAATTTAATACTATTTAGAATTAATGAAATTTAGACAATACGCACTTCCTGTGGACAGAATAAAACAAAAGACACGAAATTTCACAAGCTGTGAAGAAATTCCCAGCTGCCCACATAGGGAATGGAAAAAATTAATATAAACAAAGAATGCAATAAATTATTTAAAGTGTGGTATGTTACAAATAAGCCTGTAGGATGAATTACACTATTTAAGCTGATACAATAAAATTTATGTTTCGGAAATGAATACAAAATTATTTTTATAAAAACAATTTTCAATAGGAGATCCATTTCTTAATCTGTAGAGCACCTGTAATATTTTAAACTATCGAAAACTATGATCTGTGATCGACAAGCGATGTATTTAATTGTTTCGGGCGGATTAAAGAATGGTCTTAATAGAAAAGAAAACTATAACAACAATTCCGATGTTTTTTTATATTCTCTGAAGTAATAATTAGTTTTAGCTACTGTGTTCTATGGAAAGAGGTCAGATTAGGTTAGGTTAGGTTATTTAATTACGGCAAAGCCTCGAGGGATATCTGCCTAAGGGAAGGAATGCCTTCGTGGAGGACTTTCTAAGGGAAACTGGCTCGTATACACGTTACACATGGGGAAAACCACGAAAACACCCACGCAGCCAGCCCGTTCGCGGGATTCGAACCTCGGACCGAACTACCAGTGTTCAGCGACTTTACCGCTCGGCCGCCGGTGGGCCCAAGATGTCACCCAAAGAGAAGTCACTGTATTTCTTAATTTAATTAAAGAATCAATTTATTAATGCTTTAAATATATTACATTTTAAATTAATTATTAATTTTGTTTATCTAATAAAAATATTAAGAAATAATTACAGTTAATTTGAACGATCTAATATGTTAGCGGTATAATAAAAATTTCCGTTCAAAATATTCAAAAATTGAAGATTTTAGCATTTGAGTAATGGAAAAATCATTCATTAGTTATCCATTAGTTATTCATTATTCGCTAATTAATTAATTAGTATCATTAGACGATGGTAAATCTAGATTTTAATTTATGTCATGTTAAAAACAATAATACTTACAGCATTGGAAACACATTTTTTATGAAAATCAGACAAAGCTGCATTTGATACCGTGTATCTAGCCTTGATAAGTTTGTAAGCTTGGCAAGATAGCACATCAAATTTATAACCTGAAAATATATGATCACACTTTAGTTAAAACTTTGTGAAAAGATTACAAAAATGCAATAATATTAGACATTATTTTATTCTTAAAATTTGTATTTTTAGAATCGTATAAAAATTTATATCTAATTTCATTAATAATAAATACTCAGTTGCTAATTATAGATAAAGAATTTAACTGAAAAGAATTTTAATATGTTCAAAAGAACTTTTCTTGTAATTGTTGTTCCATTTGCAGCAGGGATTCTCAACCTAGGGAGATTTCAGTCTGGGATCCATAGTTTCAGGAGGGATGAATGCGGTTTTCCTTTTATTTATCTGTGTTTAAATTTAATTTATGAACGTAAAAAAATTACCTTTATTCAAGTTTTGGGGCTTATCAGTATTTTGCATACTTTTTGTAATTTAACTTCTGGGGTTTCACTCTTTTATCTAACAAATAAATGTGTAGAAATCTCGTGAACAACTAAGCGAAGAATCGCTTTAGTTCATAAACAGAGACATAAGCTCAAAAAGGGTTATTTACTCTTTATTTCTCAAAATAAGAATTAAACAGTCAGCTACTTTCTCCGTATAGAAAAGCCTCCACTTAGGCTTGAACTCAAAGAAATAAAACTTAACTAATTCTTAACAAAAAGAATATAGCCGAAGCTATCAAGATTCTAAGTATTTGGTATTTAAATATCAAATAAGCTGGCGAAGCTATCAAAGGCCTGAAATACGGCCGAGCATAGTACTAGCTTAGAGAGAGGCATAGCCAAAAGGAAAACGCGCGCTAGTCAGAAACTCTTAGATTCTCTAACGAAGTCTTAGGTCTTCGGTCTTCGCTTATTTAAGTGGTGTACGACCCGAGAGTCTTTACCACTCTATTTTTGTCCTGAAAAGGAAAAATATAAGTAAAAAGATTAAAAAGACTGGCATTAAAGTCAGAGCAGATATCGTCCATTTTTGCCTAAGGAAAAACATAAGTAAAAAGATTAAAAAGACTGCATTGAAGCAGAGCAGATCGTCCATTTTGGCCTAAGGAAAAAACGTAAGTAAAAAGATTAATTGAAGCCAGGGCAGTATCGTCCATGATCGTCCAGAGCAGATATTGTCCATCATTGAAGCCAGAGCAGATATCGTTCATTTTTGGCCTAAGGAAAAAACAAAAGTAAAAAGATTAAAAAGATTGGCATTAAAGCCAGAGCAGATATCGTCCATTTTTGGCCTAAGGAAAAACATAAGTAAAAAGATTAAAAAGACTGGCATTACAGCCAGAGCAGAATATCGTCCGTTTTTGGCTTAAGGAAAAACATAAGTAAAAAGATTAATTGAAGCCAGAGCAGATATCGTCCATTGATCGTCCAGAGCAGATATTGTCCACCATTGAAGCCAGAGCAGATATCGTTCATTTTTGGCTTAAGGAAAAACATAAGTAAAAAGATTAAAAAGACTGGCATTAAAGCCAGAGCAGATATCGTCCATTTTTGGCTTATGGAAAAATATAAGTAAAAAGATTAAAAAGACTGGCATTAAAGCCAGAGCAGATATTGTCCATTTTTGGCCGAGGCCAAAAACGTCGGAATAGCGAAGTCAGTGGAACTTCGACTTAAATACCACTCTCATTCATTTGCATTAAACGCAATTCTAAAAACACATTCTGATAGGAAATTAAGCTGAGATTAGGAAGGACAGGAAAGTAGCTTTAACTAAAGATAACTATGAAAAACTTAAGATAAACTTTACAAACTTATAACACATGTTAAAAATCATATAAATGTATATATTTATTTTTCGAGTTTGGGAAAAGAGGAGAGAATGATGTTCTAACAATGGTAAAAGGAGTGCATGGAGCAAAAAATGTTGAGAACCAATGGTTTATATTGAAATACATTAGTGCTTGGTATAAAAAACACGTGAATGAACAATATTCATCTCAGAGATAAGAGATATAAGTAGATTTCTAGAAGGTGTTGCAACAGAACAAATATTGTCAAAGAGCTTATCTCGCGTTACGGAGACGGTCGATATTTTCACACGCAGAACTAAATTTGTTTAAATCTGTGTTTAATATATGAAGAAACTGCAGTTAAATAAATGGAAAGCATTTGGAGTTAAATTTGCTTTAGGGTGTTTTATGATACTTGTCATAAAGTTACTTGTTATAGGGTGTTACTTATTAAAAGGTATTATAAATTGCGTAGGTTTTAAAAGTGCAATAAATCACTCAAAGCAGCGTAAAAAGTTAAAAGTTTTGCTTTATTTCCTCCTATATATAGACAACGATTTAATCCTAGAAAACGACATCTGATATATGTTCACCTCCGACAAGCATTACTTAGTCGGTATAGTTCATGACGATCCTTTAAGAAATTTTTAATGTTGATTTCGCCAACGGTCCGTTGACTCTTTGGTTGTTGTTGTTGCCTTGTCCGTATTACATGGAACAATGGTTGCCAGAACCTACTCCGAAGAAAGGTAGGCTCTTTAGTTCGAGAAAGGTTTGTGGTTTTTTTTTTTTTTTTTTTGTCTTTAGTTTGGAAACTCTCTCTCTCTCTGTGTGTGTGTGTGTTTTTTTTTTTTTTTCACGTAAACATTAGACTTAGCTGCATCTCTTATGTTTTTCCCCTTGTTGTTTAAATTTTTAACTTTTTACTTTTATTCCCAAGTTCACATATTCTGATTCTTGTTTTATAAATGTTTGTCCTTTTTTTATTATTTCTCATTGTTCTTGTGGGATACTTGAGCTGTTTTACATGTTTGGATTGATCTTTTCAATAAAGCCATATGTAACAACAACATTAGACTTAACGTAACTCTATAAAAAGAGGTTGCCATGTATGAAGTTTTTCATTTCCAGCCATTTCTTGTAGGCCCTTTTTGATCGCCACCACTCAGTTAGATCATGCACCAGGAAACAATGTTTTGTTGACTCCTGGGATGCGTGACGGATAGCCCCTGCTGAAACCACTATTCTATCACACTTCATCCAGATCAGGCACGAAGACTGCTCGAAATTTACGAACCGTACATACCGTTTTCGTAGTTACCAAAGCATTGCTTCTCAGTGAACCGCTCATTCGCATCTAAACTTAAAAGCAAGAATGTTCAATTAATCGGAGGAATAATAAGTAACGAAAATGATAAAAACAACGCTGATAATCTTCAAATAAATAAATAAATAAATAAAATAAAATAAAATGCCGAGCACATGAAAACATTTTTTTTTATAAGACACCGTATATTTTTGAGCTGCATTAAAATGCAATTTTCATAAAGACAGAAAATGCATCTGTGCATTAAAAAAAGGGAGGAACTAATAGAGAAGCAGAGAAGAAAATACAAGTTCTTAATATTATATTATCACCGAAAGACTGCAAAACTTTCTTGAATGGAAGGGGGAGAAGGAAAACCAGACGGAATTCTTATCAGAAGGAGGATAATATAGGCTGCTAAGCCTTCTGCAATCTTTAAGTTTCTTCTAAACAAGTGAATAGGTCCATTTAACAACTGACCTATCAATGGCCAAGTGCTAAAATCACTGACAACATTAGCAGTTCGCTCTGGGAGATGAAGCCCGGCGACGGCGGCAGGGGGTTTTCGTGGTTTCCTCATGTGGGACGTGGATGCAAACAAATTTTCTGCGGAAAGCCATTCAAGAATACATCCCTCTCCCTAGGCAGATAGCCCTCCAGTGCTTTGCCATAATCAAATATACCAAACGAAACCAGGTAACAATCAAATAGAGGCATCCCAGTTAAGCAGGGTCAAGACCCGACTAGTAGATGCATTCAATGACCCGTTCGCTCTCAGAATTATAAATTCTTTTATCACCATAATTTACCATCTCGTGGAGGAAGACCACTTTAGACTACTTCTAAAACCTCGACTTTTTAAAAAACGAAAGGTAGATAGATATGTAATACAAGAAGAATCCTCCGCTTTCTATGAAATACGATAGATTCGGTCTGAAGTGGAAAACTATGAACTATTACATACATGCGAATATTTTCTATGACTGACAAATTTGCAAATTCTTAGAATTCCTAGTTCCAAAGCTGGTGGTATTTTTAATATCCTCTGGAATTTTTTACTATGTTTCACAATACTGAAACGATGTCTAAAATAAATTACAATTATTTCTATAGTAACATATAAGAAGCAGCTTCCACGACTATACCATCGTAAAAATAATTACGTTCATTGTGCGAGGTACCAATGTGCATAAATTTTACATTAATCATAATAAATAAATAAATAATAATAATAAAAAATTTGAAAGCGTTTCAGATTTTATATTACGCCGAATTGGCGTTTTTTAAACGTTTTGTGTGCTGTCTTTATTTATTAAATATCATGATCTTCATATTTAAACCACAAAATTAAATTCAACAGTAGTATCACAAAATAATTAAAAAAGAGCATATCTTTAGAACTTCCGAAACAAAGTCCCTCGCGCTGGAGATAAAAATGTCCCCCTCCCGTACAATGTTGCCATTGCTCACTTTGAAATCGTTGAGTATGTTAGTCAAAAACTTGTTCAAGTTTTACAAAATATAAAGTAGATAATAAAACAAATTCCATATTTGGGGTTTCAGATGCTCATATTCGAGTGTCGGACTAAGTTAATCAAAATTTGATGTCTCTAGGTGCCGTTGTTTTTTCGCAGTGAAAGAAACATACATACATTCATGCCGATTCTTATTATTTAATTTCTTTAAATATAATGCAGTGCTCTAATATTTGGTGGCAACAACTTGAAAAGTGAAACACGATTTATGGTAAACCAAAGCAAAATGGCAAAACGAAATTAATAGCCCCCCCCTTAGCGAGAAAAATAGTCATGTAAATCCTTCTATGCAATCGTCAAAAGTAGTTAAGCCCTGAGTATGTGCAATCGTGTTCTCTTGATATATTTTTAAATAAGTTGAGATATCCAAAGAAAAACTGGTTTATAATTGAATTTCTGGATTTCTATTCTCGCAAGCGATATATAAAAGTGGGGAAGCATTATTGGGCATCA